ACATCACTATGTTGGAGTCAAGTTACAGTGCATCCACAGTACTCAGAAGTCAACAAAACTAAATAACTCAGTATCTACTCTTGAGTTTGAAAAGTCAGTGCTCTCACTGCCATTCCTTATTTCTCTTCTCTTTTAGGCTTCTACACAGGATGCATGAATAATCAAAGTGTAAAGGTATTAGGTCCCAGCTTGTTGCTTGTAGTATCCTGCTAGTATTTTGAATACGCTGAAATTGGTTCCATTCATTGCTGACATTTTAGTGAAAGTAGGTGGATCTGGTCATAGTAGAGCTGAGGTGTCCATTTTCCTACTGACACTAACAAATGTTCCTTGGGGAACTTCAAGCTCACCTTGACCTATCCCAAATATGAGTTAGTTAATCAGTCCACCAAGTCCAAGCTCCTTCATAGGTTGTAAAGGTACTTTCTTAAAAATTCTCATAGAATGATTAAGATATAATAGTAATTTGAGATCCTCTATCAAGGATAGCATTGTCTGAATTATCTATCTTCACCGTCACCTGAACATAGAGTCTTATGAGTTCAGGTGGAATAGATCCAAAATGAGTTGATGGTAAAGTCTTGGGGCCTGAGGCAATCTCCTTCCCTGGACCCTATCTTCTTTTACCAATGCTGGTTCCAGCCTCTGGAGGACTAGTGCTGCATTTTTTTTCACTAGTGCATTCCACATATATATATGGCTACCTAATCTACAACTATAACAGAAGATGAGTCTCCTTCTCTGGTTTATATTCTAGTGGAAGTGTTCTTGTATCTAGCCTTCATAGTCTACATTCGCTTGGTCCTTTACCTCACTAAGGAAAAAAGTTTTATCCACTGTTCTATCTCTAGCCTAATCCTCTATACTGGAGCAGCTAGGTGGTGCAATGCATAGAGTACCAGGCCTGGAATCAGGAAAATAAGTCTTCCTGAGTTCAAATATGGCCTCAGACACTTACTAGCTGTGTGACCATGGGTGAGTCACTTAACCCTGTTTCCCTTAGTTTCCTCATCTGTCAAATGAGCTGGAGAAGGAAATGGCAAACCACCGCAGTATTTTTGCCAAGAAAACCCCAAATGGGGTCACGAAATGTCAGACACAACTGAACAACAACAAATCCTCTGTGGTCTTCTGCCTTCAAATCTGCATCTGCAGGGTTTGTTATTGTTATTGTTTGTCCTTCATTTACAAAGAGACATGACATGACATCGCAGGGTGAAGTCTTGACTCGTGTGAATTTAGATTTAAATGAGGCAGGGTTGCACAAAGTCATCAGCCTCTCTCTTCCACAGCCATCGAAGTCCAGTAGCAGGACAGAAGTCTAGGTCCCTGGCTTTGCTTCCATAGCCCACACTGGAGCAGTAGAGGTTGAGTCCTTCTTTGCAGAGGTACTACACTTCTCTGTCCCTTAGTATATGCCACACCTCAATTGATTTTGGTGTCAGTAGTCAACTCAAGGTCAGTGATAAAGATCCCTGTGATTTTTACTATGATGTGAAAACAGAAGAATGGACACAGAGAGCACGGCTGGATCAGGGGCTTGTCTTAAAACCCCCAGTGCTGCTCCACCCACCTGCCCTTACATCTGCCCCTGAGTGTCTATCTTCTCTTAATTTTGAGCTTCAGGATGGTGTATTTAAGTTAACATTACTCATATTTTTGGATATCTTAAACATGGAATAATCTCTTGAAAATTTGAGTGCTGAATTGGTTGAAAAGTATTTTGGTATAATAGGTGTTGAAATGCACAGAGGTCTATTAGGTGTAGACATAGAGCATAAGTCTGATGATATAAAACATTGAAAAGAAATGTAAAAGACTTGGAGGATTGCAAAAAAAAATTAAGCCAGGGGAGACCACTCAGGAAGAATAGGGTCATTCAAATTATCTCTTAGGATATAGTATCTGAGAATTAATATGTGTTTTTCTCTCTGAGGAGGAGGAGCTGTTTTAAAAAATAGAAGCTCTTATGAAAAAAGAAGGCACACTCACAGAGAGCCATGTTTAACTCTAAGAAAAACATTTTCCCTGTAGGCAAGAGTGGGTAATGTTAACTTAAATAGTAAACATGAAAAGTTGCACAACAGCAAGGCTGTTGCACTCCAGATCTGCCTATTCTGTTATACCCCCAGGAATGCCTGCTCCATAATTAACAAATTTCCTTTTGCCTTCTTTTCTTTTTCAGTTTAGTTTTTTAATTAACAAAAATATTTTCTCTTTTCCACTTCTCTACCCTTTAAAACAAAACAAAGCAAAACCTTTGTGACAAATATGCATAGTTAAGCAAAACTAATTCCTGCATTGTGTTGGGACCCCCAGATGTAAGAAATGTTTATTGGTTCCCATTTACAGGTTTTTTTTTCCTTTGAAGCACATTTAAGGGGTATGTGCCCCACATGCAGCAGAATCATCCCTTGGAGATACTGGTCTTGTCCATGGTTGGCTGGCTTTTACCTCTTATATCAGTTAAGTCTAGGGATAGTTCATAGGGGAGCCAAGAGATCAGGTACCCTGCTTGACTTTGCCTATGCACTTCTTCCCCCAAGCAATATGGAGGACAAATTCTTCTCTTCTGGTTTTTCTTTCCTAGTTGTATTACAGAACAGACCAAAAAAGCCAAGTTCAAAGAAAGTATCTAGGGTATACTTGAGTTTCCTGTTTCTATAGTAATTCCATAATAATCCAAGCACAACTCTATTACATAATAATGCATACAATATAATATCTATGAGATTAGATTTTCCTCCTGGCATTAGAACCTCTGTTCTTCTTGTTTGCTGCATTAACTTTGTGCATTTATTTATAAACATTGGAATTTATGGGTTCTTTTTTTTCTGTTTTTTTTTTCCTATCTTTTGAACGTCAATAAATCTCAACAGCTATTCTTCTCATTGCAACTAATCTCTAAAGTGTGTAGTTTTGTTGATGTACACAGGCAGTTTTCTTTCCCTCTTTTTCAATTTAAAGTTCTTTTGACAGATTTAAGACATCAGGCAAATATATTCTTACCTCCTTTTGTTAGGTATGCTCCATTCCCAGAAGACTGTCCTTGCTATGTTTTAATCTATGCTCCAGAAATCCAGAAATTAGCTTTCTTGAAAATTACAGAGAATAAGAGAGATGCCATAAGAATTTTCAAGTAAAGAGAGAAAATGGAGTGTCCCAAGTATAAACCAGTGAACTTGATTTCAACTATTGGCAAAATTCTTAACTGTATTATCAAAGGGATAGTTAGTGAACACCTAGAAAAAGGCTGTACAAAGAAGCAGCCTAGCCTCATCAAGAACAGTTTATGTTAGACTAACCTTTTTATTTTCCTTTTTTAAAAAACAGTATTACTAAACTGATAAATCAGTAATGCTATAGTTAAAATTTACCTAGATTTTAGCAAAGCTCATGGCGAAGCCTCTCGTGCTATTCTTGTGGGGAAAGATGAAAAATTGTGGACTAGGCAATAGCAAAATTAGAGTTATTCAGAATATAAAATCTTAGTTTAAGAAAATTAACCTCATAAATTCAAGATGAAGTCATGATTAAATAGAAATTTGCCCGAAAAATATCCTAATTTGGTTTTAGTATGCTGTAAGCTCCATGTGAGCCAACAGTATGAATGTGCTTCATTTTCGAAGAGGACCAAAGACATAACAAGAATAATGTCCTGACTTGTGAGTGAACTGGATTTAAGTGAGGCAAAGCTTCACAAAATTGTCAGCCTCACTTTTTCCTCCAGAGTCATCGAAGTCTAGTGACAGAACAAAAGTCAAATAATTGGTAATGGTCCAGGATGCAGTGGATGACTTTGACCTTTCTGAATTAAGGTCGTTTCCCAGGCCCCAGTTTAAATTTGAAGTGATATCTTAAACTGTTTTCAGGTAGGTAGAGCATCCTAGAATGAATAGGTAATAGTCCTGCTATATGCTAACATAGCCATGTCTGGAGTATTATTCAATTCTGGGCACTACATTTTAGAAAGAACATTGATAAACTGGAAAGTATTCAGAGAAGGGCAACCAAAATGCTGTTGGGCTATGAGTCCATTCCATATGAGCATTAGTTGAAGGAACTGAGGGTATTTATACTAAATAAGAGAAGACTTAGGGGGAACATAATAGCTATCTTCAATTTTTTGAAGGGGTGTCAGGTGCAAGAGATACTAGTTTTGTTCTGTTCTGGCCCCAGGATGGGGGCAAGAGGGGACAGATGAAATCAGAATTTATGGGCAGAAGTTCCAAAGAGGCAAATTTGAGCTTGATGTGGGAAACATTTTCTAACATTTATAGCTAATCAAAAGTGGAATGTGCTATCTTGAAAGGTCATAAATTTTGAAGACTTCATTGGAAGTCTTCACACAAAGGATGACCACTTGTTGGGTATGTTGTAGTTCTTTTTCAAGTATAGATTTGATTAGATGACCACAGAATTCCATTCCAACTTTGAATTTCTGTGATTCTATGTGAAAAATACCCATCAGTAGTTGGAAAAGTAACTTTTTTTCCATTTTATTTCTTCTGATAATCACATACGCCTAGACATATGGAGCTACACGAAGAGAAACTGATGGAACAATAACTTGGAAATTTATCTTTAAGGGCAATAAGTCAGATTTGCATAGTTGAATAAAAGTTCTTTGACTCATATAATTTGATAACTGGAAAGATACCTCAAGATGTCATTTGTTTCATTCTCCTAGCTTCATGTAATCACCATCTCTATCAGTTTAAAACTTTTTTTTTTTTTTGCAAATCCTGTTGATGATATTCAAAGAGATAAAAAAGGAGAAAAGGTGGTCAAAATGACAAGTCCTTGAAGAATAAGCTAACAATTATAAAATTATTGAATGAAAGTTACTTATTGACTAAGAAGACAATATTTTAAATAATATAATACATTAATTTAAATTAGATATCTAACAAAAATAACCAGCTAATTGAAGCAGTAGCTTAATTATTTCTACTGAAAGATGTTAGAATTTGAATTTGTTTTCCTTTTAATTTTTGTAGGGATTTATCCTGCAATAAAATCCATGTTATTGAGAGACATACATTTGAACCATTACCTTTTTTGCAATTTTTGTAAGTAACAAATATTTATTTTATATTGAAAATGTTTCCATGTAATATGATCTTTGGCATTCGTTTTTAAAGAGAATTAAAATTTTGTTACTGGAAAACTAGTAGACTACTAAAAAAAAATCTATAATAAAAATGTAGACTGGAGAAATTACATTAGAAAAACAAAGATCAACAATTATTTTGTTAATAAATAATCAACAATAATTTAGTTAGTGCTTTCATTCTTTCAACAAGCATTTATTAAGTGGCTACTGTGTACCAAGCACTATGTTAGGAACTTGGGATAATTCAAAGACCAAAATGAAATTGTCTTAGCCTCAAGGAGTTTACATTTGATTGGGAAGAAACAATATAAATATAAGTAAATGCAAAATATATAGAAATATATTTTCTGCAGTGGGGAGAACACTAGCAACTGGGGAGATCAGGATAGGACTCTCTCTAGTGGGAAGTGGTACTTGAACCAAGCCTTTGAGGAAGGAAGGTTTCTATCTGGCAGAGGAAGGAGTTCATTCCAGGAATAGAGGAGTATTCATTCTATGTCTAACACTAAAGTATATGTGTGAATATGAAAATACAAATCATATAATTTTAAAACTGGAAGTGACCTTTGACCTTATCCAGCCCACTCTATCCCTTCCCCTTATTTCAGAGGTGAGAAAATATGGTCCCAAAGAGACTGTCATCTATTTCAGTGGCTTCTTGGTAGAGTAAAATGAATTTACCAAAGAAGTGAAATGACTTGCCCTGTTTACATATCTAGTTAGTTGTAGAGTTAAGATTATTATAAATGAATAATATCTTGTACAGTAGCATGTGTCCAGTGGATACTAATTAAATATTAAATCAACTAAATTAATGTTATGGAGTAGTAGGTAAATGTTTTACTACACTCACATATAAATTAGGACACCAATAAATGCACTGAAAGAAGATATTTTTGCTTTTATCTTTTTATAGAAACCTTAGTTGCAATTTACTCAAAAAACTCAGTTATGGAACATTTCAAGCCTGGCACGAAATGCAGTTTTTGCGGAAGTTGTAAGTGTAATAAAATAGATATGTAAAAATTATTTACTAGATTTTGCACCTTTGTTAGTTATGTTTTCATCCAGCACTTCCTAAACTGTGAGTCGAGAGCCCATATGGGGTCATGTAACTGAACGTGGGGGTTGCAAAAAATATGGTAACAGTAAAAGGTTTCTGAATGCGCAACGACGAACAACTAACTCCAAATCAAGTGCTAATGAATTCTAAGTGTTTCTGGCAGTACTTGCCCATGTTGCATTGCATGCACATGGCTTCCCTGCAGCCTTGGTTCTGAACATACAACATGCTCAGTTTGCACTGCACATGCCATCATGCCACGCAGCACCAACAAACATCTCCAGAAATACCTCGGCTCAGATTCGATACTATTGTCTTTAATAAATGGTCAAATTATATGTATGCCAAATAATTGTTTTAAAATAAACTTCTTTATGATTTGTTATCAGTAAATGTTTGATTTGTATACCTATTTTATATACTTATATACCCGGGATTGCATAGAAATTTCTTGGTTGAAAAGGGGTTATGAGTGGAAAAAGTTTGAGAAGCACTGTCAAGAACCTTGAGAGGTAGACTGTCATGATGTACATTTTACAGATGAGGAAACTAAGGTACAAAGAGGCTAATAGACTTGCCCAATTCATAAATTTAAATCTCCATTAATATAAAACATCAATACCTGCTTTAGCTTAGGGCAAACCTTTGGAATTGATGAACCATCCTCCCATGCTAGTTACAGTATTGTAGTAATGATCAAGTTTTGCTTTTTTGAAACACATTTGTGGCATTTTAGAAGTTCAACTTCTGACTCCATGACACTAGATCAGGTTGGAAGGAGTTGAGGTGGGCTTCAGAGAAGCTGAACATTTTGTATGTCATATTTTTGCATCTCATTATTTGGTCCAATGCAAAATACAAAGCTATTTGTATGCAAATATGTTTGAAAAATACAAAGCTTGCTAAGTGTACATGAAATGCTTGACTGAAATGACGGCCACATGCTATACCCTCTTAATCAGCTATCAAGATTCTGGTGTACTGAGAAGAAGGAGTTTAAAAAAAAAAAACTTTACATGGTGTAAGTGGATTATATTTCTCTGTTGTTAAATACCACATCTTCTTCACACTCTACCAAGAAGCTGTTGACACTGATGTCTTCAAAACTTGCCTTACCATTACCCAGTATCCCAGATAATTCTGAGTCTGTAATCTGAGTTTATTTGTGATATCTTTACAGGAGTTATTTGATCACATTCAATAAGTACACAGTAACAGGAGGGGGACCCAACGGTACATCTATTGTCTCTGCCTTCATTTTATAAAGAATTTCCGAAATGGAAAAAGAGCAAATTTGCCAGACTGCAATGGCAAGGATTAGGACTAGCTATGGTGGAGAGAAAGAGATCTTGATTCTTGGACTTAGCGGTCTAAAGAAAGCTAAATCCCTAGCTAATGTCAGTTACCTGCAAAGGATTAGTAAAATCAAATTAGTAAATTAAATTAGTAAAATCAAATAAGACATAACAGAGGGGTGATCCTTACTTTGGCTTGCAGCCAAAACAATAGACACAAATTTACCTTACATGGTTTCATTTACTATAGTGAAATGAGAGGTTTTATTGCTTCTTTTTCCTCAGATAAACCTCCAAGGGAGGCTGTATTGAGCCTAAATTTCTCACACAGGTTAGCACCATGAGAGATTTTCTTGAAAGGTAGAAGAATATGATCTTCTTAGTATCTTAAAAGGGCAATAATCAGGCATTAAGTAATTATCACCCAGTATCATGAATGTATCACCTGGCATGAGTGAATAGCAAATGTCATCTTAACAAGTTAGAATTACATAAGCCAAGAGGCCATCTCGGTGGGCATCTTAATAGGTGCCTGAAACCCAAATCAAATATATGTCAAGTTATATACAGTGTCCCAAAATCCTTAGTGCCATTTTAAACTTTAATAGCTTAGTAAATTAGTAAAATACCATTCTTTTAATGGTAGCAATAATCATATATCTTTCAACTGAAGTCAGGACTGAAATATGGTATGCAAAACCTATAGTACTTGTTATTCCTTAATATTGAGTATATTTTTTTTCCTGGCTTTAAAGTACTTCTCCTTTATTAACCTACACAGGCCCAGACTGATGACTTATTTTTGAATTTTTCAGTTAATGTAGTGATTCTTAGAAGAGTGATCTTCATGGTCATAAAAACTAAAGTCTGATACTTTGAAAAGATATACAGGCATAGTAACTACTTGCTTTTATATAATACTTTATAATTCTCAAAGTCCTTTGAAATTATTTGTCCCATTTAATCCTTGAGATGACCCTGTCAGGTATATAGCGTAGGTATTATTATGTTCCCATTTTTCTAATGAGGAAACGAAGGCTCAGAAAAGTTAAGGACCACATTTATGGTAATATAGGTCAGAGCTGGGGTTTTAACCCATTCTTTCTGATTTAGTCTAGTGTTCTTTTTGCTACTTCACCTTGCCTTGCAAACGTCCAGGTTCCATGCTGTTTCTCTGTGGCACCCTAATCCCTGAGCATTGAAAATGAGAGAAAATTCAAAACATTCTCATTTATAATTCTTTGCCTCTTTCTATTAAGATTGCCAGTCCAACAGTTGTGGCAACTTTGTGAAAGTGATAATTTAGACTCTTATTGATCTCTTCTTGTCCCCCTAGTTCTCTGACAATGATATATGGACAGAAGGGGGTGTGTGTGTGTGTGTGTGTGTGTGTGTGTGTGTGTGTGTGTGTATCTGTGCCTGTGTCTGTGTAGATGAAGGGACTTCCATAATGCAAGACTTCATAATGTATAGACATAAAAGATAGTCTTTTAGTTTTGGACTGTAACTACTATTCAAGAAGCCTAATGATTGTGACTGCCTCTTAACCTCAGTCTGCCTTAAGGCAGGATCTAAAAGATTTTCCCTTTCTTCTCTTCTGTCTGATTGCCAGGCAACAGGCTGGCCTGCCTGCTATTTTTTTTTTTTTTTTTTTTTTTGCTTTTTGGTGAGGCGATCGGGATTAAGTGACTTGCCCAGGGTCACACAGCTAGTAAGTGTCATGTGTCTGAGGCCAAATTTGAACTCAGGTCTTCCTGACTCCAAGGCTGGAGCTCTGTCCACTGCGCCACCTAGCTACCCCCTACTTTTTTTTTTTTCCCAGCAGTCCATGACTATGCTGGGTAATACTAATAATATGTTATATTTGGATAGTGTTTTTAAAGTTTAAACTATTTTGCAATGCTTTACCATCTTTCTCATTTGACATTGCTTGAAGCTGTATCTCCAGAATCTAGATTAAGGCATTTTATTTTACAAAGCCACTAACCAGACATCAAATGATTCTAATTTATTGTTTTTGCCAAACTGAGCTGCATTTGGGTTGATACTCCAACCCTAGTTCAGTCTACCTGGTGTCAGTTTCCTTTTGGATAGCAGTAGAAACACATAAGGGTTAAAAACTTTAGAAGTAATGAAATTACTTTTTGTTATGAAATGGAATCCTGGCAACTTCTGCATATATACAGTAAAACATGAATATTACAAATGAATGACCAAGGTCTAGTCTATCCGTCAGTATAGTGTAGGATACCTTAAAAGTCTTATTTTGTTTCATTTGTAATGACTTGGAAGCCCCAGTGTTGCCAATACCTGGTGATTATTCCAAGTAACTAAAATTTGCTAACATATATTAATGTTAGGAAAGATTCATATTTTCTTCTTCAGTTGCATTTCATTCTTTCAACTTCTTTAACATGACAGCTTTAAAAAAAAGTCTTTGTAGTCTTTTGTGGTTTTTCCCCTGACCGCCATATTTAATACAACTTTTAAGACTTAGTTTTATCAGTCCCTGTAATGGGCTTGATGGTCCTTCTGAATCTGTGATAACTTCACACACAATTTGAAATGACAATATACCTGGGCCACTACAAATTAGCCCAAAATTTTTAATACAGTTTTGCAAGCCATTTCCCATGCAGCTTCTTTATACATTCCTTTGTTGTAGTGTCCAAATACCATCGGCATTTCAGCTTTTTTTGTAACCTTTTCTCTACCCTCATGTTATTTGAATATTTAGGAATTAGCTCTTAGCTGGGAACAAAGACTCCTCCTGGAGATGATTTGAGTACAATCACAAGTAGCCCAAAGCTATTAAATTTCCAAGTCATATGATCATTGTACATTCCAAGTTTCTGTTCATTGATCAGGAACCATTAAAAAGAAAAAAAGTGGGGCAGCTAGGTGGCTCAGTAGATAGAGTACTGGCCCTGAAGTCAGGAGAACCTGAGTTCAAATCCAGCCTCAGACCAAACACTTAACACTAGCTGTGTGACCCTGGGCAAGTCACTTAACCCTGATTGCCTAAAAAACAAAGCCCCCCCCCAAAAAGTTTAAAAACTTTAGAAAATCAACCAATTTGTTTCAACAAGAAGGTTTTCCCGGGTTCTTTCCAGGGAAGTAATTAAAATGTAGGATAATCATTCCAGATTCAATAACCTCTTTTCCTGAGAAAGGGCTTACAACAAGGCAATCATCTCTTAGAATGTTATCTTGTGTGAGAAGCTACATAGACAAAAAAAGGGAAAAGGTTAATTTTTTCTGATACTTTTAGATATACTTCAGCTATGTTGAGATCATTCTGTCTCTTTCTTTGACCACCTGTCTCCAATTTTTTCTGCCCCTTAAATGTTAGTATAGATAGTCACTACCTGCTTTGGACATTTTTTCAGCTGAAGCTGTCAGGATTTCAATATATGCAGGACAGTGGTGACATGCTTCAGTCCTCAATTCTTTTCTGTCTCCTCAGTTAATAGAGAGGAAATGTAGCCCATCTGTCTGGACCTGTGTAGAAGGATTTGGAGAAAAAAAAAAAAATAGCAGGTAAGAAACGTTCCCTTATTTTGTGAGCTGCCTCACTTAATTGCTCCCATATTATGCAGTAGAAGACATAAAGAAAAACAAAAATTAGTTGTCCCAGGTTAAAAAAAATACTTAAAAATAATTTAGGAGAGAATTTCTTCATCTTTGAAAATCTGGAACATTCTTTGTGTTTGGATTAAAATGTATGATACAGGTCACTCTCACAAAGATACAGCTGGGGTCTAGTAAAAGAAACACGGAACTGATCTATGTGACTTGGCTGAGTCACCTGACTTCTTTAGACCTGAGTTTCCTCATTGGTAAAATGAGGGGGTCAGTACAGATATTCTCTAACATTCTTTCCAGCTCTAAGAGTCTATTATTCTGTGACTTTAAACCCATCACTCACTAGCTTTTGAGTTCCAGAAGACAGCAGCAGTTAGAGTCTAGGCAGCCAGGATGCATAGGTAGTTCCCAGTGTGGGCAGCCCATTCTACCTTTTGCTTAGCTTAAATCTTGGCAAAAGAGAAAATATACAAGAGTCACTGGTGAAAACACAAGGAAATATGGAATAGGACCATATTCTGTTCTTCTATTTTTGATTTTTGTCTTTTGCTAAATTATTTAAACAATTAACATTAGATATAATGAATAGTATTTGATTTTTTTAAAATTCAGTTTTGATTTCAGTTCCTAATTTTCTTCTTTCTTCTTCCCCCTCCTGCACCCATTGATAAAGCAAGAAAAGCAAAATTCATAACAAGTATGTATGGTCATGCAAAATAAATTCCTTCATTAGTCATGTCCAAAAAAAAAAAAAAGAGAAGAAAATATACTTCAATCTGGACTCTTGAGTCTATTGGCTCTCTTATCTGGAGGTGGATATGTTGCATATTTCGTCATGAGTCCTTTGGAATTGTGGATGGTCATTGTGTTGATCACAGTTCCTAAGTCTTTCGAAGTTGATTATCTTTACAATATTGTTGTTATTGTATAGAGTAATCTCCTAGTTAGGCTCACTTCACTTTGTATCAGTTCATACAAGCCTTCCCTGAAACCATTCCTTTCATCATTTCTTACAGCATTATAGCATTCCATCACATTCACATACCACAATTGTTCAGCCATTCCCTAATCTATGGGCATCTCCTCAGATTCCAGTTCTCTGCCACAACAAAAAGAACTGCTATAGATATTTTGGTACATATGGGTCTTTTTCTTCTTTCTTTGATCTGTTTGGGGGGATAGATCTAATGGCAATATTACTGAGTCAAAGGATATACAAAGTTTGATAACTTTTTGAGCACAGTACCAAATTGCTTTACAGAATGGCTGGACTAATTCACAATTCCACCAACAGTGCATTAGTGTTCACACAATACACACACACACACACACACACACACACAGCATTTGTCATCTTCTTTTTTGTCAATTTAGCCAATCTAATAGGGGTTGGTACCTTAGAATTGTTTTAATTAATGAGTAGTATTTGATAAATATATTTAGTAAAGATAACTTTGCTTCCTAGAGGTTGAATTGCCCTACCTCTAGTTCCTACCTTTTCAGACTTTCTTGGGTAACTATTCCCGAGGTAGGAGTAGATCAGAAACATCTTCTGGATCCCTCATTTGTCCCTGAGAACTCCCTTCCCAGGATGCTCTCCCAGAGCTGGTTGATCCTAGGCTTCTCTGTAGGCATAGCAAATATGATAACAACCCACACTTTTATCCATTCTCCCTATCATACCCAAAGCAGTCCATTTGCATGCTCTCAGATTCAGGCCTGAAGTCCTACAGTCAGTTACATTTATTAATAGCCTAGGTAAAAATCATCAAATTTTGTTAATCAAACATACAGGGAATGTTCAGTTAGAGGGGGTTGTTAATATTCTACTCTGGACTACAGGACCGTTTTGGCAAACTAGAAAAGTCTTACCCAAAAGGAATGAAATTTACCATGAAAAAAGTACAAGGCATTACACTTAGAAACCCAGCTTCCTAACAAAGCAGTGGAGATCCTGCTGCATCTGGAGTTTGAAGATCTGGATTCAGATCCCTGCTCCCATCCCTTGCCAGCCTGCTTGACCTTGGGTAGCACTTAACCTCCCTGGACTTTCGTTTCCTCGTCTGTAAAATGAGGGGCTTGGACTAAATGGCCTCTAAGGTCCCTTTAAATTCCATAATCTCAATATAAAGTGGAAGAAAGGCTAGTTAAGAAGGAATAATGTGCTGGTAGGAATGGGTATGCAGAAGATGAAGCACGGAGTGTGGTGGTTGTGCAGCTAACAGAGTGTGAGGAAGAGCAGCAAAGAGATCTCGAAGCCTGGGCTGGAAGTGGTTATGGGGATGGACCAAGAACATAGAGGGAACTGGCTAACAGCACCTTGGACGTAAACCAAAGAGAGTCTGGAAGGACTTGCTGCCGCTGAAAAGATATTTAGAGCAGAAACTGCTTTGACAAATACGTGGCAAGATAATGCTCTTTCCTAAGGTAGCATAACAACATCAAGAATCTAGATTTTCAGAAGTTAACAGTATTATGAGAAGCAAAAGTAGTTCTGTTTAGATCTCTGGAAGAGTGTACCTAGGAAAGGCATGGTAGGTGGGATAGAAACATTACAAGATAGCCCCCACTCCCCACCCCCACCCCCATGACATGCTTTAACTTTAGGCAAGTAGCTTTACCTATGTGTATAGTTTCTCATTTACAAGGCTTAATTCTCCAGTGATTAATTAGCATTCTATATTCTTATAGGACTATAACCATCCTTCTTAAATCTATAAATGATCGTGTATAAAAATTTGATAATAGATAATTATGGGAAAGAAAAATGAAGACAGCAAATGAAATAGATCACAGGATACCCCAAATGGGTGGGTGACTTTATGAAAACCAGTTAATTCTGAATCATAGTATTCTCAGAATTGAAGTTACCACCTAAACCCCATTGTTATGATGTTTTCCTTAAGGGAATTTATAATGGTTTTACCTCTTGAATAATGTCAGAAGCAGGGGTTTTTTTTTGGGAGGAGGGGCTTTTTATCAGGAAACAAAATTGTCCTAGCCTGTAAGATGCAGCTTATATTCTCCTGGAGTTAATCAATGGATAATAGTAAAATTCTTTAAAGATAAAAATAAATGTATCTCTGTGCTCTGAAGGAAAAAGAGTGTATTTCTTGTTGGGCTGCCAGCAAAGTGTTTTCCTACTTTAGCACCTGGAGCTCATTCTCAACTTTTTTTTTTCTTTTTAAAAGTTGACTTGTCTTGTTTTCTTCAGTGATTTGGCTACAAGATTCTCCAGCTAGAGATTCTAAGCCTCCTGCAACAACCTCTTTAGAACAATGAACAAAGACATTCCTAGTGCCTCCGGGCTCCTCTATCTTTTCTTTGGACTGACCTTCCTGGTTACTAGACCATGGGTCTCTGTGGGTGATCATATTCTAACTCACAGTCAACATTCCATATACCTCCTGATTTTACTCTCTGAAGCCTGAGCTTTTCCTTGCGTAATAGCTATTTGCCCAAAAATCTTGAGTCATTGCCTTTCCTTTTTTTCATTTTTTTTTTCAATTTTGGAATTCAGAGTTCCCCAGTTTTCAACTCTACACCCCTTCTTTTCTCCTATGGAGATTAGTGGGCAAGGAAAAGTCACAAAGACAAAGCTAACCCAGGAAGTAAGGTCTTTGTCTCTTGTGCCGGCCTCAATCTGTTCATGGCCTTTCATATGTAGATACAAATTGAAAATCTGAAAAGGCTGTGAGTTCACCCTTATATAATTTTCTATAACCTTTTTTTTTTCTATGGCATGGGCTTTCTGGCATCCATCTTCTTCACAGTCTTTAATCATTCTTCTCATCCTTTACTTTCTTCCTCCTCTCTCCTTTTTCTCTTCTGTTTCTCTTCAACATCTTCTAAAGACTAAGATGGCTCCTGGAGGCAAAAGGCTTGTTGAAAAGGGCAGAAAAAGGGCAGCGAGGTGGCACAGTGGGTCCTGAAGTCAGGAGGACCTGAGTTCAAATCCGGCTCAGACACATGATCCTCACTAGCATTTGCCTTGCAGGAAAAAAAAAAAAAGGGCAAAAAAGTAATTGTGAGATTTCTTGTGAGTAGAGCACGTTCTCATTCAGGCAGCTATGGTAGTGCTGTACTGCACCCTCCCTGAATGGGTTTAATTATTCTAACATTGTATTAATATTATTGAAATTGTTCATTTTTATTTCTTCTTTTATTTTTTCAGAATGCTCAGTCATAACCCTTTGTCAGCCATTGAAGACAAGTTTTTTTTCCAATTGCCATCACTGAAGTATTTGTAAGTATTGAATGGGACATAAACTCATGAATCACCTTTGCCTTGGATTCTATTATTCTTTGCTTTATAAAAGCACCAAAACAAATTTATCCTGTACATAAGCTAAGAAGTCAAACCTTGTAAAATTTTAACTAGGCATTCAATAATACTCTTATTAAAGATATTAATAAAGAGTAGCTTTTAGAGGGAAAACAGCTATCAGTCAACATTCATTTAATAGGCACTTGCTATCTGCCAGGCACTATGCCAGGCATTGCGGATACAAAGATAAAAGTGAATTAGTTTCTGCTTTCAAGAAGTATGCATAAACACGAGAGACAACCTGACATATATAGGTGAATACAAAACAGATATAAAGGAACACTGTAGAAGGGTTGGGGAAAGGGAACGTGAGCAGCTGAGCCCCGCAGGCCTCATACAAGCTCATGGTGGTGCTTGAGCTTGAAGAGGTGGAGGTGAGAGTACATGCCAGACATGGGGGAAAGCCTATACAAAGGCATTGAGAGGGGACCATGTACAGGCTAGAGTATAGAGCATGTAGAAGGGAGTTATGTGTAATAAGTCTAGGAGAAGAGGATGGGACCAGGTTATGAAGTGGGCTTTAAATGTTGAGCAGACAAGTTTATTTTTGAACCTAGAGGTATGAGGGAGCCCTATTAATAATAAATTACCCCTATTAGGGATTTATTAAAGGGGAGAGGAGGCATCACATGGTCAGACCTGTACTTTAGGAAAATTACATGGCTATGTGAAGGATAGGTAGGAATGGAGAAAGAGGAGGCAGGAGACTATTGAAATAGTCCAGGCAGGAAGTGAGGAGGATTTGAACTACAGTCGTGGCTATATAAGTGGAAAGAAGAGGAAATATGGAGGGATGTGGAGATAGAAACCATTTGACTTGGCAAATCAATAGATGTGGGAGGTGAGGGAGAGGAAGGAGATGAAGATATCACTGAGGTTGCAAATGTCAGCAACTGGAAGGATGGTCATAAAGAAAGCAGTGCTAAAGAATATGTTGAGACATAGGAATGGAAAGGAAACCAAGTGGATGGAGAAATTGTCATTATAACGGGGAAGAAGTTTAGATTCTAAAAATAATACCCCTCAACATAGGAAAGAGGAAAATGATAGGGAATGAGAAATTTGAGGCATTTGCAGGTTGCTTTAATTATGTCCAGGCTATTCATATGTAATTTCAAAGTAAAGAGGCAAATATTTATATATTTTTTAAACTTAAAATTATTTTGGTTAACTTCTATCTCCTCAGTACAGCCTACAGGCTATATCTAGGAATATCTTTTCCAGAAAATAAGCTCTTGAAGCTGCTTGTTTTACAGAATATCAGCAATTGAGACAATGATATTTTCCTAAGTATCTTGCCAAAAGTACAGAATTTCCATATTTAGATTTGTAGTTTTGTTTTTCTTCTAGGGATATAGGAAGAACAGAAGTACCACTTGTGGCCATCAAGAATATCCTGATGATGGCCCTCAAACTACAAACACTGTAAGTATTATGTGAATTTTATTTTTCGTTAGGCATTTCTTTAAAATACTTCATTAGGACACTTATGACATAGCTTATTATTACACAGATTCGGATATATTATGCAGTAAATTGTGGTCAGAAAACAGTAACTAAAGTTAGTCGAAATTTGGTGTGATGCCCTCTCTTTCAACATCAGTATGCATTCCACTGTACATAGTATCTGATACAGTATACTTACAAAGTGACATTGTCATTTATTAGAATCGGAAACTTTTAAGACCGACAAATGGGGTCGAAGGAGATTTTAATTTACCTAAGATCACAAAACTGGTGAGTCCCCAGACTTCCAGATCAATGTGTTTGTTTAAACAATATTGTGCCTCCAGGCATATATTTCCACAGTTATTTCTTGTTGAGAGCTTATTTGTTAATCAATTTTCAATCTTAAAACATTTGATATGTGACCAATAGGGATCACTGTGGAGCAAAGTTGACCGAATACTGGCTCTTTTACTCACCCTCCCAATAGGAAAGGGGGAGGAATTGAATCCTCCCAAACCATACCTTCTCAACTGGCAATTTTAGGGGCATGACTTTCCCTTCCACTTCTACTTGCTACCTCCTCCCCGTCATTCCAGGGACTGGAATTTATGCCTAAGGCCTTTACAGGTTGATCAGCCACACTAGACTACAGATTTGGCCATGTGGGAAAGTCCAGGGTTTTTCCTTTGTGGGGCCCAGATCCCAACCCCATCACCACCACTCACAAACAAAGGAAAAGAGAGGGTTGATACACACCACCAGTTTGGCAGCTTCTAGGAGAAGAAACAGTTCTGCCACATTCTTTTGTAGGTGGAGCAGCCCTGGAGTAGAAGTTCCTATCACACCCCTTGTTAATCCCCAGTCCAAATATCCCCCATTGTGCTGGTGCTGCTGTCTGGCTCCTCTGTCAGTTTGGTGGCAGGCTTCCACAGGCTAGCTGCCAGATTAAGTGCTGTGTTGCACCTGTACCCTTTCAAAAGGGTACAGGAAATGTAGGCACAAGTGAAGTCCATCTCCCAGCTCAAAGGTAATCTAATCTATTCTGTCTCAGTGCTGGCAGGGATGCCTGTCCTTCTGAACTACACATTTTAGAATGCCAGTCAGATCTCAAACCTCTGTTATAGGTATAAAGATAGTTTTAATTCACTTACATGACATTGTTTATTATTGAAGTTCTGTCCACAGAGAGAGCATGTATGTAGGAGAGAGTAGGGGAAATTAAGTCATTGTGAGCCATGAACAAGTTTGAGTCATACAAAGAAAGGGCAAGATTAGGTGAAACAATATTACTTAGGAGGGTGAGGAGAGGTGGATTTCTTCCTTAGGAATAAAGCTTCCCTAAACTGGCAAGGAAGCCAGACTAGGATGGGAGAGGCATGGGACCTGAGGTGGTCTGGTCTTGGGTATTGCCTCAACATCTTTATACCAATGTTTGGATCATCATAGTGGAGCTTTGTTAAAACTGTGTTGCTTGAGGGCAGCATTAAGTAGAGTCCACCTGTAGAGAACTTCTTAGCAAGTCCATTTGGTTAGATAAAAGCCCAAGATAAAAGAAAGCAAAGGAAGAAGATAAAAGCAGTTTTGATTAAAAAAAAAAAAGTTAACATAAAATAATGAAATAAGTGAAAAGAAAATATATAGACATAAAGCATATACATCTAACTAAGCAAGAAAGGAAAATGCAACCATAAGAGAGGTAAGATGCCCAAAGATAATAAATACTTACAGGAAATGTGAGGACTTTGTTGGCAATCAACACAGACAATTGTTATTATGTGAAGCAGTTATTAAAAGAAGAATGCATAAAAAGGAAGGACATCATAGGTCACTTATGGTTTATCCTACACAGGAATAGTTTTAACTACCTAAAAAGTCTTTAAGTATATGTATGGAGTGTGTATTGTCATTTCTTTGGTTTCAAGGTAAAGCTGAATTGCTTGACTACTCTCTTTTACCTTATAACTCATGGGAAAAAAGGTATGTATGTGTTTAAAAGTTTTTCAGTAGAGCTGTTTAAAAATCAATGCCTAAGTGAACCAGTGACTTCAGACCTCTGAACTAAATTTTGCCGTTGATTGGTTGATAATATTTTCTGGTATTTAAAGATAATCCCCAGAAGAGAGCTGAGGAAGGAATTAATTATTGAGTATAGAATGTGTTGAGGTTAGAGTTTGGGAGACCTGATTCAGATGTGAAAGAATGCACTTAGGCCTTCCCTGTAGCCACTGGTGATGAGTTCAGAGTGGACCCCAAGAATGTTGGGGTGCTACCTGAAATGATGAGGAGTAGACGTGCCTGTGTCCTGAATAAGATCAAAAATTATCTTAAAATCACTATAGCTTTCAGTGTCCTGAAAGAATTCACTCGGACAGTCTCCAAGTTAAAGAAAGGCATTTACTGGGGTGATGTACCTAAGCAGGCCTGCTCCCCCGAGGCAGAACCCCAGTGGGCTCTACTCCACGTGGGAGGCAGAGCATAGGCCCAGGCCCTGCTCTCCTAAGGGAACAGACCCGCCCCTACTTCCCACAGAAGGCAAAGCCAGTTAGCTAGGTCAAAGGTGTACAATTTTATGGAACAGGGGGAAGGGGACAAGAGAATGGGAGGAGTAAGCATGGCTCCAAAATGCCTGAGATATCAAGTAGTCCAGAGGTGATATCCTAGGGGAAAGGGGAGGGGAAGAGTTGTTCTGGAATTGAGGGTGCTTTGTGAAAGCACACAGATAAGTCCACGTGGGGCCTTCGATGCATAGTCTTCTTTGATCACTTGTCCGGCTGGTCACATCCTGCAACCCATCTACTATCTCAAGTTCTGCTTGCTCCATCTGCCTCAAGCATATTTTCTACCTCATCATTAGCCTTCATTATTTTATCCGTTTCTGTATTTTGCTGGAATATATTTCATCATGTGTCCTGGCTTATTATTTCTATTCTATGTTGTATTATGTTGGTTAATATTAGTATTCCAGATATGAAATCTTAATAAGCATAATTATAATTACTTTTTAGAAACAAATTTTTCCCTCTAGGGTCACATATTTCTATCTATATAATGTAAAGGTTAAAGAAATGAGATTCCCTGTGCATATTTTCATGTAATATATTTCAAGAACTGCATTTAATGAATAAATTAAAATTGCTCTACATTTTATTTTTAACATTCTATAGTATTAGATTATATAGTAGTATTAAAAAAAAAAAGAAAGAAAAGAAAGGCACCATGGTGTAGGAAGTGCATGGATTTAGGACCAGAAAACTTATTAACTATGTGATCTTGGGAAAGTCACTTAAAATTCTTGGGCCTCAGTTTCTTCATCTGTATAAGAAACAGTTGGATTATATTACCTTTGAGTGATCTATCACTTTATGATTTGAATCTTGGCTCTGCTGCTTGTTAACTGTGGCATTGGAGGGCAGCTAGGTGGCGCAGCAAATAGAGCACCAGCCCCTACATCAGGAGGACCTGAGTTCAAATGCGGCCTCAGACCAAACACTTGACACTTACTAGCTGTGTGACCCTGGGCAAGTCACTTAACCCCAATTGCCTTAAAAAAAAAAACCTATGTCATCGGTCAGGTTTGTTAAATTCTCTGGGCCTTAATTTCTCATCTGTAAAATGAGTTGAAGATTAAACTGCATATTCTCCAAGGCCCTTTCAGTTCTAAATCTATGATCCTAAGATAAAAATGAATTTTAAATAGTGCCCTAGACTAACAACACTTTAGAACCAAGTTATTATAATAAAAACATTAAAATTGGTATGTTCTACCAAAATTGGTTTGTCCAACAGAAACAACTAAGTTAAGATGTATAGGTCTTGATTGTGGGAAGATAACTAAGACTAAGATCTCTACCCCCAACCCCTGCTCCCCCCCTCTCAGACATACCACCAAGGCTTAGAGATGCACCGTTCTAGGAAGAGAAAGAGAGAGAAAAAAAATCACCTTTAGACTTCCTAGCTCAACTCAGAAATCCACAGAGGGAACTCTGGAGTCTTGATGTCATCCTGGGATAGACAAGCCAGGAAAAGTAAATCCTGGGCAGAGCCAGGGCAATCCCTGGAAGCTTCATTCAGACAACACTGACCTTTCACTGAAGCCTGTGGCAACCAGAGTGTTCTGGGTGGATCCAGTGTCACACTCCCTACCTGAGTCAAACAATCCCAGAGCCCAGCCAGAGCCTCCTCTAAGCTCATAATGCAGTGTCCCAGAGAGGTGGTACTAGAGGCCAAATCCCAGCTGTAGGAAAAAGACCCTAAGCACATTGTGGCTATGAGGTTCTCCACTAAGGGGAAGAGGGAAAGAGCCCAGCATCTAGTTAGAGCCAGATCTGTCCTCCAGCAGGGACTGAGCCTGATGTAGGGACTGAGGCTGGTGAATCTTGAATCACCCATTGTGGGAGGTGGCTGAGACACCTCAGATTCAGTCCCCAGGGAAACCAACATTAAAAGTAGAGAAAGTCAGAAAGTGAGCAGTAGGCAAAAATAAGTCTGAAATTACCAAATATCAGAAAGAAGGAAATTCAAGGGCCTTGAGGATAAGCAGATAAGCCTACAGAGAAGATATTAATAGCAGAAGGGAATATGATAATCAGATCAGATAAAAAAATTCAGGCCTCTATGAATAAATATTACATGTGAAAGGAGGACGATTCAATACCTACTGAGGCAAATGAATGACCCTGTCAATTCTCAGGATAATATGGAACCACAACAGGATGTCCCCAAATGGTTTAAAAGGAAAATGAGAATTGAGAAAGCAGAATTTATGGCCTGCATAGCAGAAATGATTGGCAGAATAGGAAAAACTTGAATCCAAGCAGCAAGTCTCACCAGAGAAACAAAAGAAAGGATAATTGGGACTGAAATACACAGAAGTAAAAGACAATCTGGCAGAAGCAAAAGGCTATTGCATGATCTCCATAAAGCAAAACATATTGATCTCAAGGACAGGATGTGTAGAGGCAACTTAAGGATTGTAA